GGGGGGGGGGGGGGGGGGGGCAAATTTAAGTCCTGTGTATACAATCATGCTCTCATTGGTTAAATTGAAACTCCTTGCCAATGGGAACACAAGTACACATCCAGAACTTCAATTTGCCCCCTCCATTAGCTCCGTTTTCTTTTTTTACTGAATATTACATTACAATGCCCCCTCTAGTGTTATTTATAATATATGGATAGGAGCTGATCACATGATCTGCTAAAATCTAGCAGATTTTTAATTGGCCTTCTGTAAATTTGAGAGGGGTAGGAATGTAGTAGTTCAGTTAACTTTTATTTGTGTACAAGTGTTGTTTGTTCCAACAAATAATAGTAATTTAAAGCACGCATTAATCAACAACATGTCACCTTTCCTTGTTATCATTTTCATTTGCTTTATTCTTTAATGTATTCTTCCATTCGTTCTTGTTGCCTGTGGATACAAAGTTGGAAAAAGGTAAATGTATGAGCAAAATTTGTGTGGTTTTGTATTTTCCCAAGTGATCCTGCACTGTCAAATCACTTTAGAATCAATGCACTACAAAAGCATACATAGCTATAGGCGGAAAAGTAATATTTATTATACACTAAATATTCATGATTCCCCAGTTGAATGTTAAAACAGTTACTCTAGATTAGAACGCCACATTATATTTACAAATATTCGGGGGAGCATGCTGTCAAACCACTCTTCTGCCTCATATATGAAATCACAAAACCACAGACTAATAGAGCAGAGACTTCATATATGATTTGCAAAATGATGTGACATCAGTTTGACGGATGGAAACTAGTGCTGACCTTTGACCACATGTGTCACGACCACATACATGGTCTCAAATTAAAGATTCCACCTTTAGCAATCATGTTGGTTTAATACACAAAAGTTTAAGAGATGGATATGACAAATTCAAGCGAATGGGCAGAGCTTATCAATAATATCGGTTTAAAAAAAGCTAATGAAGAGCTTCATCATCGAACAAAGCAAGTGTTTGACGGGTTACTTCTTTTAGTTTCAGTTTGCATGGTCGATGAAAACCTGCTATCAAGAATACCCAATATGATGTGTGGGCACCTGCCCGTGATCAGTATCTCTGATCTGTTCAACATCTCGCTGCTTTTGAAGGAAATACTAGACTTGTAAAAAATGTCTGGTGTTAGCAGGGACTGAAATCAACCTTCAGGACGGAATAGGACAAACACCGCTCACTCTAGCACTTCACAAGTCGCACGACGCTGCAGCACATTTTCTCATTGAAATTGGATTGGTATTGCAACAAGAGTATTTTAAAAACACTGTTTGTCCACTTGATATTGCGAAGACGAAAGACAACATAACAATGACAGAACACATTGAAAGAAAGTTATCTGAAGTTGAAATTATCAAGAAAACATGTTTCGTCATGTTTTCACAGACTAGTAGGTGACCCCATTGAACAGGATAATGCATTTTCACAGGCCCTAAATATTAACGTTGGAGATCAAAAGAATACTGTTACTATGTAAGGATGTTCCAATTTAAAAAAATACAAAACAATGGAAACTCTGAAAATGGTTAACATTTTGATTCGACGTTTCCACTAGCTTGCAGTCATCATCAGGAATGATGCTACTAAGACATACAAAACTATATATACAAGATCAAATGAAATATATCTGCTAGTTAAAAATTATTAGTTCCTTAGAGGCTTTACATCTGTGGTTCTATCTGTGGTTCTATGGGGTCTCCCTTGGGGTCTACTCTAGCTGATATCCTAATGACTACCTTTAAGGATGAAATTGTGAGACCACTAATATCCTCTAACAAAATCAAATTCTACTCACGGTATGTAGACGACACACTAGTACTGATTAAACCATCTGACATACCTAAAGTACTACAAAAATTCAATTCTTTTCACCCACAAATTCAATTTACACACAAAGATTTCACTGACAATAATGACATCACTTCCTTGACATCAAAATCTCTTCCTCGGGCACGTCAATTTATCGCAAGTCAACACACACTGGTCAGATACGTCCATCTCTCCAGTTTCACTCCATGGTGCAGAAAAACAGCATGGCTTAGAGCACTTGTCTATCACGCACATAAGATATGTAGTAACAGCGTGTTACTCAAAACTGAACTGCAGAACATTGCCCAATTTGCGTCATGGAATGGTTACCCCCGTCATCTGGCAAATAAACTCATAGAGTCCTTCACACCAAAGCCAAACCCGAATGACACCATCAACATCGAAGACTATGTCACAGACCCTCCCAAAATCTGGATTCATCTACCATTCATTGGTAAAAGAGGAAATATGTTAATTAAATCCTGCACCACTAAAATAACACGCTTCCTGAAACAACATGCTCAATTCATCACTATTTACGACACCACCAGCACTAACACCTTCCTAAGCATGAAAGACCGGACTCCTAAAGAACTACAAAGCAGTGTAGTCTACAAATTTAGTTGCCCTGGATGCCAAGCTTCCTACATCGAAAAGACAGATCGCTGTCTGATGACAAGGCTAAAAGAGCATGCCCGCAGTAAAGAATCAGAGATTTACAAACACATAAATTCATGCGAACACTTCATGTATTATAGAACGCTATTTAATCTTCCTCATACACTATTTAATCTAGATGACTTCACTCCTGAATCAATTATTTTCAACAACTGTAAGATATTAGACAAATCCAGACATTGGTCTTTACAACTTTTTAAAGAATCACTATATATTCATCGCCAAAGACCGGAACTTAACCACGGATGTAAAGCCTCTAAGGAACTAATAATTTTTAACTAACAGATATCATATTTCACTTGATCTTGTATATATAGTTTTGTATTTCATAGTAGGTCATTCCTGATGATGACTCCAAGCTAGTCAAAACGTTGAATCAAAATGTTAACCGTTTTCGGAGTGTCCATTGCTTTGGATTTTTTAAAATTACTCAGTGGTAACCGTAACTTTTGATGTTCCAATTCTTGTCCAGATATTTATGGATACCATACGCCAGGTGTTGGTGATTTTCACAACCGCGGATACGTAAACAAGTCTGTGGGGCAAATAGTCAGCCAGGGTGGGCTCTGGCACGTTGAAAATGTAATGAAAAGGCCAACAGTCAACCCTGCTTCTTTTAAATTGAAGTTCAAAGATAACAATTACAATAACAACGATGATTGCACTTAACTTTCAATGACCCGCCCACCCCTTTTACTTTATGACAGGTCCCTCAATTAGATGATGATCTATATGCAGATTAAAGGTTTGACTAACATTTTTTTCCGAGTTCTAAACAACATAAACTTAGTTTTATCAAGGTTTAATGAAAGTATATTTGCTAAAGCCAACTTGAGATTTTTTTCTAACTCAGTATTTAGTATAGTAGAGAGAGTACACAAATCCTTTCCCCGAAGAAATATATTGGTGTCATCAGCAAACAATACAAACTTTACAATATTTGAAGATATACTCAAATCAGTAAAAAATAACAAAAACAATAAAGGGCCAAGAATTGAACCTTGTGGGACACCACAAGAAAATCAATTATGACATGAAAAACATCCATTAAATTCAACAAATT